TTTAAATCATTAGACACGTATTTTTTATTTTCTTACAGAACCGAATACTTGCGACGATATATTGATTTGAAATGTCGCGTGACGTCACTTCTATGTACGTATTATACGTAGAAATGACGTTTTAGCCCCCACTCCTAAACTTTGATTAGTTTTATCTAAGTATTGTTTTAATTTATTATACGACAAAATAAAAAAATACTTGTCTAATATTTTTTCTTTAAGTACATACTTACGGACTAATCAGATTTTTAATTTTCATACCGTGGCATCATCCCAATTGAAAATCAAGAGTCCCAAATGGGATTATAAAAAAAAATGTGGTTAATGTAGCACGTAAGATTTTTGTAACAATTAATTTTGACAGTAAAATAAAAAAAGGGCACGGACAAGAGTCCGTGGAGAATAAGAAAGCATAGCACTTGCTATGATTTCAAGTAGGTTTATTCGTGTCGCTAGTGGTAACTGCGCGTAGCAAAAGGGTTCGATTCCCGAGTCGGCCAAAATATTAGTTCGGTTTTTCGATATTTATTCACTATAGGTTTCCCGTATATGGTAATGCATCAACAATATACTCACCATCTATTACAAGGGGAACTTTGACGAAAGTAGGTGTTATAAGTACTTCAGTTTTCTGGCTAGTCCCTCGGGCAAAGGTGTTTGCTTATGTCTAAACTCACTGATTATTTTTTTAAATGCATTCCACTGAAGTACATGGCAAATACGTTATTCTAAATTCTAAATTAGTATTTAGAACGCTAGTGCGTTCGATAGTCCGAAGACATGGGACTTCATCACTGAATACAGATGTTAGCTCTTCAAAACACTGAAGCCGTGTTAGGACTTCGAAAGTTGTAGAAATTTATTGCACGATCATTTTTCTTAGAATTAATTTTCGTAAGCAACCTGACATTCCAATCGACGCTGTTACTAAACAAAACAATAGCATTCATCCTAATACTAACTAGTTTCAACTGTTTTATGTTTCAAAATTTAACAGCATTCAAATATAGATAAGTTCCAAATTCAAAATTGCCGGGAAATATGGAAACGATAGAACTTAAAAGGCATCCCTCGTATCTATCAAGCCTAGGTCGTTGAAAAAATGGAAGATCACAGTCTTTTGAAACAACGACTGCGGCACCTAGCTACTATACACTTATACGCAGAACATACACACATTGACACGAAGGACATCTGTCATTTTCTTAAGTCTTGTAACGTGGTAACCCCATTACAAACGCACACTTAAATAACCCGCTGACATTTTGGTGCTTCAATCATATCTAATCCGGCTTTTTGTCAACGTCCTTGAATCAACCATTAATATCCTGTACAGTGCTAACCCTTCAGTATTCTACGTAAAGAGAGAAAGAAAAAAACTATATTTCACACGCTAAAACAGGTGGCACGTACAGATTTTACTCACCACTACATAGTCTAAAACAAAGTCGCTAACCGCCGACTGTCTGTCCCTATGTATTTTTTTTAAGGGGGGAAAATCATTGAATGACTGCTCCCGCCTGGGTGAGGCGGGATGGAGTGTCAGACTCTTACTGACTAAAAACCTATCAAGCATACATAGGGACAGACAGACGGCGGATAGCGACTTTGTTTTATACTATGTAGTGATCTAAGCTTATTATTTAACAATTCTACGTAGTAGGTAGGTTACAATACAATGCCTGTATAGAATTAAATCTGTACCCACAGGCTTTGGGGTCATTATACATTAAGATAATACGACAGTTTTCTATGAATTTTTATGAGATTGTGTATTGTGACGTCACGTTTTTTAGCGTCATGTCATACTTATTTCTTAAAAATTTGCTAGAAAAATACAAAAATTAAGTTAATCATAAAATCAATTAATAAAAGTGTGATTATCTTTTAATCTTTTATTTTATTGAATAGTACAAATAATTTATTTACATGAAGGCAAGTACTCAATTCTTTCTTTTCAAATTAACAGCCCCCTTCTAGGTCTCTAGCGCTAACTTTGGTAAACACTGTAGTTAAACGTAAAATGAACACATTTAAGGCCTCTTTATCTTATTGTTATATTCTTATACTGTATTATTTAAAGCTTGTTTGTTTGAACGCGCTAATCTCCGTAACTACAAGTCTGATTTGAATAATTTTTTTCGTGTTGGATAGCGCATTTATCGAGGATTGCAATAGGCTATAAAACATCACGCTACGACTAATAGAAGCTGAGCAGAGCGTGTTAAACCGCGCGGAAATATCAAGTAACGTATATTGTTCTACCGTTACCACACGGCATTGACCCGTTCGGGCACAAATGTAAATGTTCGTAACCAGGCATAATGTAAGTAGGTACTTAAAAAATAAAATAAATCGTCCGGTTACAGGAAATCCCCAATCATTTAAATTGGATCCCATTTGTCATCTTGTTATCATTGCAGCTCGCTCCATTACATTACAATGCAGGCATAGAAATCTTTGTGACAATGACAAGAGATCGCTTGTGCGAATTGCGGCGAGTGTCACGGACCTCTCGTCTGAATAACTTATGCATCCATTGTCGAAATAGTTACGTAGAAGTGCTAAAAATAGCCACCGTGGGCCCAATCCCCCTCGACGTGCAGGAGAAGGAACGGGGTGGTTTTTAGTCAGTAAGTCTGACACTCCCTCCCGCCTCACCCAGACGAGAGCAGTCATTCGATGATTTTAGCCCCTTAAAAAATCGGTTTATAAACGACGGAGATATCGGTGAACAAACATAAAAAAAGCATATAGCTATACGGTCGAATTGAGAACCTCCTCCTTTTTTTGAAGTCGGTCGAAATATGTAGGTACTTGGGTAGAAGTGCGACAAATAAGCTACCGGACGCCCTATTACCTCCCCTTCTTTCCCAATATCCCCAATCCCTGAATCTCCAACAATTCTCAAATTCCTAATCCCCAAAAGGCCGGTAACACACTTGTAACGCCTATGGTGTTGCGTGTGTTCATGGGCGACGCCGATTGCTTACCATTAGGTGATCCGTCTGCTCGTTGCTGTCCGGCTGTGCCAACATAACCCAACATCAAATATTTAGCCTAGGTACATACATTTCCTTAATAAGGGTTGAGTATACCTTATTATAAAATAAGAAATTTTTAAAATACGCCAAAAATAAGTAATTTGCCCGTTTCGGAAAAAAATGTCGAATCCAGAATCTCTCATTCGACAGTTAAATACACTTGCCACTGACAAGGCACTTAATTAATAACGAAGTTTATAAAAAATATTACTTCAATCAAATATCAACTTTCCATTGTTTCATTAGAAATAGTTAATATTTACGAAGGTACTACAGTAACCTATGTTATTTTTCTATAAAAAAAAACAATGGACAAAATCATAGTCTTCTGACGTAGCGACCTTATAGACGAAAAATAAATACAAGGTCATCATAGATAGCTTAGTGATAATTGACTTATCACGATCCCACCCTAGGTATATTTTAGCATTTAATATCGAAAGTAAGTAACATATTCGAAGGATATTTGGTCTTATACATCGCTTTACATAAGTTACGTATCAGATTCTCATTTCAAAATCACACAAGCGCATAAATTATGGCCGCAACGATAAAATACAATGTCACGCCATGATTAAAATTCTTTCAAAATATACATTGACGATATTCAATTCAGTCTATATTTAGATTAGATGGATTACGCAACATGCGGTGGAAATGCGCGCGTAAAGATCACGCGTCGCGGCTTGTAGATAGTCTACTATTGTTTTTAGTTCTGACTTGTTACAGTCGTCAGTTCAGTTCAGTGACACAAAAAAGTCAAATAAAATGACAAATTAATGTCATGGATGATGGCATTGACATGTGACATGGCCAATCAGTGTCATCATGGGGCAATAATAATGAGAAACTTAAATAACAACTATGATATGAAATGCCTGAAATATCTGAAACTGAAAAAGTAGAAATCAATATTGCGACGCGATCAATGAAGTAGTACTTACGTAACATCCGGTGGGGCGTTGGCAAGCGTCAATATTGTCGATGGTGACCTTATTTCTTTTAGAGTGCCTAAAATAATATTTTGATGCTTAGAACGTGTTTAATTATATTTATTATGATTTATTGTAATGAATTCTAAGTTATATAAATTGCTGTTTTATTGCATTTTATTTTTTTCATCTTTCAATATTGCGTCTCATAGACAAATGACGACGAAGGCTTTATCAGGTTGTTTATGGCGAATAATTGTAACGGGCAACATTCAGATTTAAGAATCGATTCTCAATTTTTGAATCGATATAAGTAATAAAATTTCATATAATTCCATACATTTTGGACTAGTATAATGTTTAATAGGTTTCTAAGATTTTTTAGTATGTCGTTATTGTTAATTTGCCTTAAAAAATAATAATATAATTAAATCGTTCAACATAACTTTATGATTAAAGAATCTGATTTCCCTGACTCAAATTTGGAAGAAAAGTATTGTTTCATTATTATAGAAAAATAATTAAATACTTACATCTGTTTAAAATTACTTATTTCAAAATTTATATCCTCATAGTACATCAGTCTTTCGTTTGTCATTTAAGGAACACACATTTACCTAATTATAGTCATTAGTAATAAATATCATTAAAAAGATGCTATAAATTTTGCAAATAAACGTTAACAAATTACCGATTTATATTCGATTCCGAATTAAAAATTAATTTAAAATGTCTTACTCTATCGATATAAATAATCGAAGCCAACCAGTGTTGCCATTCCAGTTTGGCGCCGAATTACATCACCATTTCATGGCACGCGTTTGACGCATTTGTTAAAATTTTCGACTTTTCGTGACAGCACGTCAATTTCGACATTTGATTGATAATTTTCTAAAGATCCATCAAATTAGTTTGTTTGAAAGTTGGTTTGGGCGCTAAATGTTATTATTTCGTTGTTTTAACTTTAATTCTATGATGTGAGTGTGTGGTATCCATTTTTGGTTGCGTGTGTCTTTATCCCATAATGAGCGCTCTCAAGTGTGTGGTTGAAGGGTGCAATTTAGAATATGATGTAGTCTGCAGCTTCTCGTTCTACAAGTAAGTTTATTTGTGTGATTATTACCTTAGAATTAAGTTTTTTAATAACCTTTTGTAGTACTAAGCTTGTGTCTATGGTCGATACGTTTGACCTCGAAAAATTCACAAGCATAAAATAATTGTAAACACAATAAGGTTTATATGTGTTTGAGTCAGTATTTTTCCATTGGGAGGTTTTATTTTGGCGGCAAAATCGTTTTTCGTCACATATGCTTTACATTACCTATTATCCCAGTATTAAAGTTAATCGAAATTGTAATTTTTGTTCATTTTTACTGTGCAAAATGCCATGTATAAACATACTTAATTGTTCATTGGTGGGGTTAAATCATGCAATAAATCGTGTTTTGTAAGCAATAGTTACTTACTACTATATTTCGATATGTCCATATTACACTTTGATATTCTGGTAGTACTAAATTCCTATCAAAGTGGTATTTTGAATCATAGAAAGTGTTTAAAAGGTTTTGCCTTGTGATATAAGTGGTAATTAATGACCATCTGTCCAACTGTGATAATCGTTAACAAATGCCTATCAACCAGTTTTCTTATCAGTTTTTAGCAATTAGCAGGCTCTCTTTCCCTTATTAATTCTACAATTTTTATTGTTACATACATCATTTATTATGTTTTTAGACTGTAAAGTTTGTGTAGGTGAAGAAATATGTAATTTAATAACACTAGAAAAAATAACATACAAAATTCTAATTAAAAAATGTGTTATTTTTTGGTATGGACTAAATCCTATAGGTTATTCCACATAACCTCTTTTTTAAATGACATTGTTTTTCCAAACACAACAATTTATTCATGTTATGTAAATTCTCCTTAATTCCATTATTTAATCATCAATATTAGAGCCTTTAAATTAATTTAAAAAATAAAGTATTATAAATTAAACTGTCAAACACCAAGCGGTCACCGGTGACCGCAACCTATTGTTCTTTAATTGTGTCTATAAAACCGGTACTCGACGAGTTAATGGTAGGATGTATATGGAACATAATAAGTAACAAAATTCAGTAAAGGCTATAGCTATAGGCTTAGGTTCATTGGCTCATCTTCTATTATACTGTACATATAACATAACTGATGATACACTAGCTGATAATAATTAAACTCAAAATCATGATTTTGATATTACAAACAAAACAGTAACGAAACATAGGGTGTTACCGAGGCTCTAGCTCAAAGTAGTAGTAGGAATGTGGTGGTGCTAAGAGTGAAGCTCCTTCACGCCTCACCCAAGGCTGGAGAAGGCATTAGATGAAACCCCACCTCTAAAAAAGGACATATTTATCTTTCTGTGCATATCCTGTTGTCAATGTGTAAATGAAAATGAAAATATTTATTTATAAACATAGGTTCATGGTATAATATTGTCCATCTATGTTCTGACATATATCAAATACAAATTTAGGTAAAAATTCAGTTTCAGTAATTGATAATGTCAATAATATTAATTTCATTCACATTAATTATTACGATAGTCACAAATGTATATAAAAAATATAGACAATGTCATTGTCATAACAATTATGTTTTTGCTTAATCTCTGTCTGTCTCCCATCACACATAGTGAAGTGATAATATTCTATAGCTCTCGCTGCTAGCACTCTGATCATTCTCTTTTTGTTCATACAATATTTACCATATTTTCCTTTCTATTTCTACACCTCTATTTTATAGAAGTAGTTTAGTCAGTCTGCCTGCCTTTTTAAAAATTCTCAGTAGTAGCACGGAGGCTGGAATTGTGCCCGGTATGTGGCAATAGGATCACCCCCTATTACATGAATCTCATAATATTAATAGTGAAAACTGGATTTTACATTGCAAAGTGGTATTAAGTGCCGTAATGTGCACCTCTGCCTATCCTTCGGGCGTAAAAGGCGTGATGATATGTTAGAAACTATTTGAAAGCCACCATTACTAAGATAAAAAGGCATAGAGTGATAGTGTAATCTATTACAGAAATATATTTGTTATATGTATAAATTATGGTATGTACTGTGAACAATATACTGATTATGTTTATTATATTAATATGTGGGAGCGAGTAATGTTTTGTATTCATTAATTTTTGTTTAGTTATTTATTGTAGTGTTACCTATGAGACTTAGTTCTATTTGTATTTATGTTTCATTGTGTTAAGTATGTTGTTTTATTAATAATAGGGTAGTTTCCAGGGTAAGAAAATTAAAAATATAATTAGTCCGTCAGTTAGATAATGAAAAAATATTAGACACGTATTTTTTTTATTTTCTCATATAAAGTTACAATACTTAAATAAAATGGCGTTAAAATTAGGAGTGGGAGGTAGTTACGTCACAACGTGGTACATTTTGTAGCACGCTGTGACGTCACGCGACATTTCAAATCAGTACATCGTCAAAAGCATTTAATTTTGTGAGAAAAGAAAAAATACGTGTCGAATGGTTTAAAATAATCTAACAGACGGACATTAAAATAAAATTTAGGAAACTACCGTATTAGCTTCGGACAGCGGTTTGCCTACGTTCCCGTGTCGATAAAAAGTAGCCGACCTACAGCTGTAACCAAATGCCATTTAACGCTTGTCTACATGTAAAATAAAAAAATAATAATTGAATGACAAGAGTCCGTGGAGAATAAGAATCAATAAGAGAATGAATAATCTAATATAAAAAAAAAATGTCGCGGAGAAGCTAATGGGTCGCGGAGAACCTAACGGGTTACCGGGGCTCCGGCTCGACGTGCAGGATAAGGAACGGGGTGGATTTTAGTCAGTAAGAGTCTGAGACTCCCTCCCGCCTCACCCAGGCGGGAGCAGTCATTCGATGATTTTCCCCCTTATAAAAAAAACCCCTTGTAATATAAAAAAATCCCTCTAATAATATGATGATTTACTGTTTAATTCTTGTTCCCAGTGCCAATATATCGACGGACAATGAAGCCAAACGGCAGGACTGGATCGAAGGTGCTATGCATGAGGAGAGTGAATGCCTCTGGCGACATGTCAGCTTGCAACTATGCGGGTATGTTCCATAACAGTATTCATAGCTTTTATTTTAATTTTACAAGTGATTTTTGGTGTTAGCATGGTTGTATCTATTGTAGATCCTGGCTTACAGGAGTTGCAGTGGTTTTGGGAGGTTGTGGCGGGCTTGTAAAATCAAAACAAAAAAAAGTGGTTTCGTACATGTGTGAGTTCGAAACCTACTAACGGCAAGTACCAATGTGACTTTTTCCAAGTTATATGTACTTTCTAAGATTATTTAGACACCACTGACAAACGGTGAAGGAAAACATCGTGAGGAAACGTGGGCTTATAATTTCTAATCATAAGTTTGAAATTGCCAACCCGCATTAAACAAGCGTGGCGATTAATGCTCAAACCTTCTCCGTGTGAGAAGTTTTGCTCAACATAATAAGAAATTGTAAGTCCAGGATACCTCACGATGTTTTCCTTCACCGTTTGTCAGTGGTGTCTAAATAATCTTAGAAAGTACATATAATTCGGAAATCACCACATTAGTACTTGCCAGGTTATGATCCACTCCACCAGCTGCTTTTCTATATATTTTTTTCATTAACCCATCGAGCGTCTGCGTTCCTTATGCATTTCCTTATCCTTATGCATGCAAGAAAATGCATTTATTTTGCCATTGGCACACGAAAACAAGGATCATTACAATAGAAATAAAACAAATACAGTCAAAATAAAAACAAAACATTAATAATAGATTTTATAAAAGAGAAAGCAGCATGGAGCATTTTTTCTCATGATCCACCGGGTGCTCATAAGGACGCTCGAGGGGTTAAACCTGCTAGGAACCTTATCTTGAGTAGCTAATTCTAAACCTTACTGCTTTCTAAATAGGTATCATTTCGAGCTGGACAACCAGGGCCTTTGGATCGACTCTCCAATGCTACCGGAGCTGCTGACCCACCAAGAGAAAACCGCTCCAGTGATACAGTCGCCAAATGATAAGAAACGTAAGTGTTAACATTTTTATTTTTTACTAGCTTTTACCCGCGGCTCCGCTCGCGTCACAAAAGGATAAAAAGTAGCCTATGTGACATATACCAATACATACAGCGCCATCTATACCAATACTTTTGTTTTTCCTCGGGAATATCAATTTTTCCGGGTTAAAAAGTTCCCTATTATTTAATCCGGACTTCTAACTTTACGTCTGCAAAAATTCACAGCAATCGATCTAGTAGTAGTTACGGCGTCAAAGTGGAACAAAAAAACAAACAAACAAACTCACTTTACGATTTATAATATTAGTAAGGATAGTCGAGAATTTGAGGGCTCGTACACAAAACTGCGGTGCGAATTTCTGCGATGCGATTTCGTGCGACAAGGCGTCTCCCAGGGTGACCATTCCTTCGACGACCGTCAACCGTACTAAACGTATTTTAAATTGAAAATTAGATTATGACATGGATCGTAAAAAGAAGTGTGCACTTCTGTTATTGCTTAGGAGATACAGGAAAAAGAAACAAAGCAGATTTTGGGAAGATAAGATTTTGATGCGCGATGCGAATCAATTCGCAAATGAAATGAAATGAAATGAAATGAAATGAAATGAAATGAAATGAAATGAAATGAAATGAAACTTTATTTGTGATACATAGGTACATTTGGTTGGTCATTTTTAGATTAAAGTGCGCTATGATCAGCCTATTTTAGGCATACAAATACTCGTATAAGAGTTTAAATCAGTAAGTCGATTAATTAGTTAGATAAGTAAATATGAATTTGTCGTGTTTTAATAAATTATATGTCAATAGTGTTCGTCAAAAAGTCAGATGAGGAAGACTACTTAATGCTTAATAAATTATAATAAATTGATGTCAATAAGTAGGTAATTAATAGATTATTGTAGTCAATACGTTATAGCTAAACATAAGTCAACAAATAAGCAAAATCAAAATTTATCCATTAAAAAATCTAAGACACTATAATAACATTTTTGACACAGTAATTGTTTTAAAGATTTTTTAAAATAATTAACATTAGCTTGTTTTAGCTCTTTAGGTAATTTATTATAGATAGCTGGAGCCATACGAAAGATACTTTTATGCATTAATGCGGTATTCGTTCTGGGTATACACAGACGACTTTCATCCCTTTGTGGCCGATTATAAGCTTCAGATAATAAAATAAAGCGTTGCAAAGCAATAAAGCAAGTACTTGTGATGCGTAGAGGGAGCTCGCACATTTTTGCGATGCGGGGGTCGCATCGCAGTTTTGTGTACGAGCTCAGAGACCTCTAGCACGATTATTGAAGGAAAAGTTTAATTTTAATTCAATAAATTGATAACATATTTTTTTATAATGTACGGAGTGTCTGCTTATCCATTTGGGAATTGAAAGGCGGGATGCTTCTAATCCCCATAACCTTGGAGCAAGGAAATGGAGTCACTAGCACTTTTTGTTTTCATTTCATTGATGCCTCTATAATAACTTTCATAAAAAAATCTCCTATTTGTTTATTTATTTATTAACCCGTCGAGCGTCCGCGTTCCTTATGATCCAACGGGTGCACACGTGACATTTGGAGAAAGAAAGAAAGAAAATGCATTTATTTTGCCATTGGCACACGAAAACAAGGATCATTACAATAGAAATAAAACAAATACAGTCATAATAAAAAACAAAACATTAATAATAGATTTTATAAAAGAGAAAGCAGCATGGAGCATTTTTTCTTATGATCCACCGGGTGCTCATAAGGACGCTCGAGGGGTTAACGCCTTTGCACAAAGTGTACTAAAGTGGATTTAATTTCTATTAACAAAATTCTCCCCGTCTGACCTTTGGGTGATGCAGAGACGAGTTATTGGTAGGAGCAAGAAGCAAGCAACGATTTAATTGAGCAAATAGAAGATTATACTAACACATTTCAGAGATAAACATAAATAAAATAAATATAATAATAATATATATACCTACACACTAGTACAATACAATATACTTACATATTACTAATACACTGTGAATAATTAGCGTGATGTGATGATTCAGCCAACCTCTTTAAGAGAAACTCACGTACTTTTTTTCTCCTTTATTGTTGGCGTTGCAAGCGCGTTACTGGCCTTTTGGGATTAGGATTTTGAGGACTATTGGGAATTCAGGGATTATGGGGCTCTATAATTGGGCCTCCGGTAACCTCACTCACACAACGAAACACAACGCAAGCGTTGTTTTACGCCGTTCTTCTGTTTGGCCGTGGTATCACTCCGGTCGAGCCGGCCCATTCGTGCCGAAGCGTGGCTCTCCCACACTTAAAAACTGTTCTCGTGATTTGAGCTTATTAGGTACACATTCACCGGTTTATTTTTATATTATCTTATGGATAGAAGACTTTTCCCGCCTGGGTGAGGCGGGAGGGAGTGTCAGACTCTTACTGACTAAAAACCACCCCGTTCCTACTCCTGCACTTCGAACCGGAGCCCCGGTAACCCGTTAAGTTCTCCGCGGCTCCGTATCGGCATCTTATAGATAGACTAGCTACTTCTGCGCGGTTTCACACACTCTGCTCAGCTCCTTTTAGTTGAAGCGTGATGTTTTATAGCCTATAGCCAACCTCGATAAATGCGCTATCCAACACAAAAAGAATTATTCAAATCAAACTTGTAGTTACGGAGATTAGCGCGTTCAAACAAACAAACTCTTCAGCTTTATAATATTAGTATAGATTAGAAGTCTTTAGATAGTCAAAAAACGCAGAAACAACTATAGTATTCCATTTCTGCTCTATTGCAGACGCTGTCAAAGGCCCAAGCTATCAAAATCTATTCGAAAGGTTCGTTGGGGAACATCGCAGAGGTATTAGACAATTTATTCATTATCTCTGCTCCTACCGTAACGATATATTACTTTACAACAGCCTATAAATGTCCACTGCTGAGCAAAACCTCTTCTCACACGGAGAAGGTTTGAGCATTAAACACCACGCTTGCTCAATGCGGGTTGGCGATTTCAAACTTATAATTAGAAATTATAAGTCCAGGTTTCCTCACGATGTTTTCCTTCACCGTTTGTCAGTGGTGTCTAGATAATCTTAGAAAGTACATATAACTCGGAAAAAGTCACATTGGTAGTTGCTACTTCTGTTACTCACTGACTGACTGACTGACAACGCTCAGCCTAATTACTGAACCTATGATACAGAAATTTAGCATGATGTTCCTTGGGCAGTGTAGGGGAGGACTATGAGAGGATTTCTAGTGCATTAGAACCTAATCCAACCCTTTATTTATACTATTAGGTGTCACTTATAGATGAGAGAAAACTAAAACGTCGTAACATGTCCCTTAGCTTAAGCGTTCCTTAAAATTTAGCAGTGAAAATGGTGTCAAAGTAATATATAACTAACTATATATAACATCACGCCTTTTATCCCCGAAGGGCTAGGCAGATGTGCACATTATGGCACTTAATGCCACTGTATAATGTAACACCCACTTTTCACTATTTATGTTATGAGTCCCATGTAATAGGGGGTGAGCCTATTGCCATATACCGGGCACAATTCCAGACTCCGTGCTACTACTGAAGATTTTTTTTTTAAAACCCATTAGTACTTTGTCCAATCCGGGTATCGAACCCGACGCCCCTTGCACTTGCGACCACTCGGCCAACGAGACAGTATAAAAATAATTGATTAATTAATAAGTCTAACTATAGTTATAATACTAAATATTGTGTGTATGTTTGTTCACAGTGGCTGAAATTATCCGTATGGAACACAATTATAGCGTGGAGCCGGTCAAAGAAGATCCCGAGAGCGTCTCCAGACTAAATGTCAGACAATTAGTTGATACTTTGGGTTATCTGTGAGTATTTATTATTATTAAGTACTAGCTTTTACCCGCGGCTTCGCTCGCATCACAAAAGGATAAAAAGCCAATGTGACATATACCATATACACACAGCGCCATCTATACCAATACTTTTGTTTTCCCTCGGGAATATCAAATTTTTCCGGGATAAAAAGTACCCTATTATTTAATCCGGACTTCTAACTTTACGTCTGCAAAAATTCAAAGCAATCGGTTTAGTAGTTACGGCGTGAAAGTGGGACAAACAAACAAACTCACTTTCCGATTTATAATATTAGTAAGGATTATTACAGCCGTATTTATAAGCGGTAAACAAGTAGACGGGTCACCTGATGGTAAGCAATCGGCATCGCCCATGAACACTTGGGATACTACCGTAACCGCACTACACAGTAATTGGGTAGTTTCCAGGGTATCAAAATTAAAAATCTAATTAGTCCGTAAGTTAGGTAATGAAAAAATATTAGACATGTATTTTTTTATTTTCTCGTATTAAGTTGAAATACTTAGATAAAATGTCGTTAAGTTTAGGAGTGGGAGGTCGTTATGTCATTACGTGCTACAAAATGTGACACGCTGTGACGTCATACTATATTTCAAATTAAAATATCGTCGAAAGTATTCGTTTCTGTAAGAAAATAAAAAATACGTGTCTAATGTTTTAAAATAATCTACCAGACGGACATTAAAATAAAATTTAGGAAACTACCCTAATATTTGCATTTGTCCTTTGATTTGTATTTTTGACTATCCAAAGTCACTTATTCTCATTGCAATAAATAATCGGAAGAAATACTTATTTTGTTTTTGCCCTATAAATCCAGATCACTGAAGAACTTGCAGCGCAAACAGCTGTGGGTCGTGAAGGTGGAGACTGACAAGGCGGAGGCTTCCATCACGCAGTCAGAACAGGTCATCACCAAGATGCCTGACCCGAGGCAGATTATTGAGGTATGCACTCCTTCTTTATGCCACCTAAGTCAGCCGATACCCTGCCTGTATACCAAATTTCATCAAAATCCTTTCAGTACTTTCAGCGTGATTGACCCACAAACATCCAAAACAAAGAAACGTTTTTTTTATGGCATAGTCCGGTAAACAAACAGACGGGTCACCTGATGGTAAGCAATCGGCGCCGCCCATGGACACCTGGAACACCAGAGGCGTTACAAGTGCGTTACCGGCCATTTGGGGCTTAGGATTTGAGGATCGTTGGGGATTCAGGAATTGGGGAGATTGGGGAAGTGGAGGGTAATTGGGCCTCCGGTAACCTCACTCACACGGCGAAACACAACGCAAGCGTGGCTTCACGATGGTTTTCACTCTCCGGTCGAGCCGGCCCATTCGTGCCTAAGTATGGCTCATAATATTAGTTTGATAAAAATGAATTACTTCTCTTCACAGATAATCCCTCAATCATCGACGTCAACCGCAGCGGAACCGGAGGCCCAGAATTCAGAAGTTTTACAAATTATGGATGACACCACCATCTCGGACAACTTCATATACGAAATAGCTGAGGAACAGGAAATCACCATGGAAGAAGTTAAAGAAATACCAGCGACTTCATCTGAGAACCCTGAATGGACTGTTAACATACTCCCCGATGATACCAAACCAAAATATGCTTATATTAAACACTGCTCTTCGGGCAAGAAGAAACGTCATTTCACAGCTGACATGAACGAAATTACCCTACAGGGGGATTTTGAAAATTATTACATACTCCCTGACGTCGATCCGTCTGTTGGAGTCGAGATAACAACAAGCTATGAACCTGAAAACTATATAGTCGAGGAGTACCAACACCTAGTGCTCGACGAGAGACCGAAGAAGCGTGCCAGCAAAGATGATTCTGGGAGAAAAAAGAAGAAGAGGCTCTCAAATCCTCCCGTGAAAGAGGAACCGACTGATTGGGTGATCGAGAACAACATAGTATATGAACAAGATGAAGATTTCGATGATCCGAAGAAAGTGGCTTCGCGTGTAAGAAGAAAAAATAAAAAGTACCTCGGGTATGATTTTGTTACTTAATTGTCTTGTTTTTACTCGGCATTTGACTTTGAACATTTAATTTAGATATTGTGGCTGGTCAGGCTTAATTTTAGACCTAATTTTAAAGATTTTCTAGGTAAATTAGTCAATAATGGGGTCCTACCGTCTTGTCTGCTCACCTGGGCCTTTAGCCAAACGCCACTGTACCGCTTGTCTACAGTGAGAGTAGAAATCAAAATGTATGGGGATGACACTGACAAGTGTCAAAATTTACGTCAATTCCATATAATTTGGTTTTCTATTCTACATGTAGACAAGCGCTAAGTGGTATTTGGCTACAGCTGCTGTATACGCCGTGAAATCTATTTCGTTTCCGTCCCGCGGCAAAACAACTTGCCATAAGGACTACTTTCGATGTATAAAATAAAAACAAAACAATAAAGATGTCATTTTTTTAGTCTACAATAAATTCGTAGAAATACGCAAATGAAACACTAGACGTAAACTTGTAGGCACTATTCGCATCGCACGTGCCACCCGACGAGAAATACATCTTCGAGAATCACACGGCGTGATGTTTTGATAATGTACTGTAATGAGTTCGTATGCGCTTTCGAAGTTAGCTTTTTGCAATGGTTCACCAGTTAGTTTTTGTTTTAAACATTTTATTTCTTTGTAAAACTATTGTATTACCGAGATAGAACCATTTTACTTCGGGACGATAATAAAATAGATTTCACGGTGTATTTCGGCCACCAGACTATTCAGTAACTTTTAATTCGAACTCTCTGAAGTCAACTCGATCGCGGCCCGCCATGTCATGTAGTGAGAATAATAACGACCTATGATAAAAGAGAATACAATCGAGCTCACTTCGGAAGTTTAATTTAAAAGTTACAGGATAACTATCGTGAGACATATTCAATTAACTAAAAATCGCGGGTTACTCACGTGAATATACTGAGAAAAGCTCTATTAGTTTCGAACCACAGAGGGGTTCTTCCACATGAGCAGCGTGCGCGGTCGCGGCGATGTCGCGCAGCCTAGCGTTGGCGCACCACGAGCATTTGTACTACTATAGTTTTACTCAGTATATTCACGTGAGTAACCCGCGATTTTTAGTTAAGTTACAGAATAACCTATAGGTTGTTTTGTTTACTTTCAAATATTGAACGTCCAAAATTATGACACTAGCTGTTCGATATTGGATGAAGAACGAGAGGTGTATACTAACGCCATCTATTGAGCAGTAATACAGTAGCCCCCTTTATGCAGTTGTTTAGAAGTTTTGTCTAAACCAGTGATTGACTACTAGCTTCCTCCACATAAGAGCGTTTGTCATAATCTCCGCAGGCTGGCTTGGAGATCGCAGTATAAAAGGTACAGGTTTATCAGAGAGCGGTGATGCCCGGTCTCTGTTAAATGTGTAGTCCCTTAGTCGGATATTACGATATAAGTACTATACATCTACCTTCACTGACGGACAAACTGACAGGCAATTCTATTTTTATATACAACTAGCGGACCCGACAGACGTTGTCCTGCATATAATATAATTATAGGTTTAGATAAATAACCTAGATATCGACTGCAGCGCCATCTGCCGGGCTGATTTGTGAATCTAAACCATCCAGGGCGCCACTCAAAAGCATACAGAAAAATTTATTTAAATCGGTCAAGCCGCCGGAGGAGTTCAATGACATACACACGTACAGCAGAATTATATATATGTCGTAGGATAATTTGATACTTCGAATCTTCGCGGAAATCCTAGGGGTTTTGCGAAAACGCGGATAATTAGACATAGGCGAAAAATTATCAAATCTTACTGGACAAAGTCAGGATTTTTGCGAAAATACTCGTTACTATAGTAAGATTTGATGTGCTCAACACTGATTGGCTACAATTTTGCTGGCTGACTTCTAATTGGTTCCTAGTTTGCCGATGATTAACTTCAAGTATTGTATCATAGATTTAGAAATTTATGAAGGTTTAGAATAGGTGAGAAAGAAATATCACTAAATTGATTTTTATAAACCTTTTATTGAAAATTTTAGTATGTATGTTGTTTTCTACAGACAATAGAAGATCTCAGTCGTAGTAAAAAAAATAAATTTCCGCGAAGATTCGAAGTATCAAATTATTCTACGACATATATAAAGATAGTGCTTATGTAATAGTTAATTGAAATTAATGCCGTTGTCTTTAAATTGGGTCTAAAATTAAATAGGACTAGTCAAATTACTATAGGATGTCGTTAAAAAATGACTAAACATGATTTTAATTATGATTCTGTGTTCTGAACTATTTGCAAATGTTTTAAGGTCGATTCTCGTGTAAAAATGATGAGTTTTCATTTTTATTAATATCATGCAGTGTGCAATCGTGGCCTTTTACAAGGACGAATTGAGAATGCATTTTGGTGAATAAAAATGGACTTTATAAACCTAAATCTAGAAAAAGCTTAACACCGGATTTGAACCAGTTTTCAATGTAATATCTCAGGTTTGATACCTATATTAGTGATTCCTTATTCTTGTTATCTAAATAAAATGTATCATGTATTAAAATCATGTTCGGTTCAAATCGTTATATTCACGTAATCTTGATAAACGAAATAAAAACCATGAAATAATAATTTTTGCGAACTTAATAACGATCTCATTTTGCAAAATAAATCCAATTGACACATAAAAATAAATATCAAATCGTTAGCTTAGGTCATTTGTTGTTGACTTATAAATCCACGATTACGAAAAATCCACAACATTTTTGATCATACAAAAGTAGTCTCTGAACATCGGGAATAAGGTATATAACGGTGTTAGTGGGGAGTGGTTACTGGTGACCACTTGGGGACTCGGCAGTCATCATCATCAACAGCATATAAGTGCCCACTGCTGACCAAAGCCCCTTCTCACACGGTTTGAGCATTAACCACCACGCGTGCTCAATGCGGGTTGGCGATTTCAAACTTATAATAAGAAATTATAAGCCCAGGTTTCCTCACGATGTTTTCCTTCACCGTTTGTCAGTGGTGTCTAAATTATCTTAGAAAGTACATATAACTGCGTAAAAAGACGCATTGGTACTTGCCGTTGGTAGGTTTCGAGCCTGCACTGGCATGCATGAGAAGCGGGCTTCTTAAACCTCCGGGCCACCACGACAGTAAATGAATATTGTCATGACAATATACTCACCCCCTATTACATGGGACTTATAACATAAATAACGAGAATTGAGTTTACATTGTAAACAGTATGATACTTTACGTATTATTCATAATATTAACAAATAAAATAAAAAAAATCATGAAGTTTATTGTTAAGAATCCCGTTTGACTCCGAAATTGAACGGTCGTGCTCGAAAATCGTAATCATACGATGTTGTTCATTAGTTTAAGTTGCAAGTAATACATAATTATTATTTTTTGGATTTAATGAGCTCCATTCTATTAGCTCAAGCTATCTATAATATGGTAATTGTGGAAAAAAATAGATTATATTGTATGGTCATCAAGATTAAGAGTATAGTACCAAATATTAGATCGATCTGTCGTTAGGAAGGGGGTATAATTCCTATTACTAAAGACCCAAATACAGTTTAAAAATAGTTAATTTGTAGTTTCAAAGTATATCATTAAGCTTGCTACATTTAGTAGTCACAGCTGTGTACAGTCTCTCTCAGACACCGGTAACTAAAGATATTTTATATTAAATGTTGAATAAAATTTAGTTCGAAATGTACTATAGTCTATATATTCGTAGATTTTATAATACAGAATATAATTATAAGGTTTCCAGTTATCCTATAATCAAATTTAAAAATTCTTCCTTTAAAATAACATTGAAAAAGTATTTTATCATTTATTTTAATACATACTAAATTGATTATTATGTTTTCGGCTTACGCACGTAACTGTTTGACGAGGAACTCGACTAGTTTCAAGTCAAAAAGCATAGTAATTAACTTAGAAATAGGTTGGCAATCCACTGGTGTTCCGGGTGTACAGGCGGCGCCGATTGCTTACCATCAGGTGATCCGTTAATTTGCCACTAAAAATATAGTTTTTTCAATGTCATTTCCAAAGGAAGTCTTTTTATAACATTCAAAGTCAAATGCCTTGGTTTTAGTGTTAAGATTTTGTTTATATTTTATTCATATTATTACTACCTATATTAAATAAATAGCTTTGTTTTTGGTTCAACATTATAGCTAAAAATGATATTTGAAAGTGATTTTTCTGAAAACTCTGGAGCCTTAAAAGGCCTCTGGCGCCGATGACCTACCTAGGTGATCCGTCCTTAACGAAAATGGCGAAAAAACCCTTATCTAAAGTAGCATGAACGTCTTAATTGTCCAATCTCTGTAGCTGTTAATAAATATCAGTCCAATAGTTATAATACTAGGTTTATTTTGAGAGTGAAAACCTCATCGAATGATTTCTCTCGCCTGGGTGAGGCGAGAGGGAGTGTCAGACTCTTACTGACTAAACACCACCCTGTTCCTACTTCATTCGGAGTCGCGGAGAACCTAACGGGTTACCGGGGCTCCGGCTCGACGTGCGGGAGAAGGAACGGGATGGTTTTTAGTCAGTAAGAGTCTGACACTATAGGCGGGAGCAGTCATTCGATGATTTTACCCCCTTTAAAAAACCCCGTTCCTACTTCTGCATAGACCCCAGTAACCCGGTAGGTTATTCGCAGCTCCGTGTTTAATTCAAGCTAATTGTCTTTTGGACAAAATAGACCTCAAGCCAAGAGACCACAAAAGAAGGATCACATGATTTTTTAGAAAGTTCACAATCAAATATTAATTTTAAGTTAAGGTGCTACCACACAGCAGTTATATAACTTTTTACCACATTGTAACATACTCTACAACATGTAAAGATATTACTAAAACCTTTAACCTCTCGCGCGTTCTCGTACACACGGGTAAATATTTTAATAGAAACGCGAATAAACTATTCTGTTCAATCAAATAAAGAACGGGTTGCAAGCTTGAAAATATACGTCACAGAAAAAATATCCAATCGG